CAATCGTTTCAAAGCCGAACTAGTCTTGATGGAAATGGATCTGATTCCTCAATCCAGCTTGGTCCACCATCCCTTCTGTCTATGACGGCACCCCAGCTTGAATGCCGGCTTTTTCACCCATTCTGGCCCGCAGCATGGCAGCGAGGTGCTCAGGTTCAAGAATAAAAGCGGCTATTGTGGCTCATCCCGTATGCTCCCACTTGGAAGGATGTTTCGATGACCCCCGTTTGTGGGCGTGATCACAGATGAGCTATTGAAAAGGAGGCTATATCGTGGGGCACGTTCAATCTACGGTATGCTGTGAAATTACTTTGACATCCTTGGCCGTGAGTCATAATGATGAATTATTTATTCTCTGACATATTTTGTATAGAGGCGCTGGAGATTCCGGGGGCCGAACGAGCTGGACAGCAAAGCCTGAATTGGCAGACTACATTTCTTTCTATGGCTTCATGATTTACTACATACATTACCTTGAGAAAGGTGACAATCTGGAAAAACGTAGCCGCAGGGGAGCTTCCCAGCCGAGTACTGTACGCGATTGCTCGTGTGAAGACGAGCAGGGCAGAACCGAACTCATCTTAGCTGGGTTCTCTTTCGGAGCAATGCTGGCAACTTCTCTTCCCTCCGTGGAGAAAGTCGTGCAACTCTTTTCGTCCGCTAGGCCTGGAGGCTCAGCTATAACAATCAATCAAATAGCACTTCAAGTGGCCGGGGATCACAATCGTTCCATCAGGTAAAGGCCTACGAGCAGATGATGTGTTTATCTCTATGAAAATCTAATCCCTTTGCTAGAGTCGAAAGTAATACATCAAGCAAGGAGGAAAACCGAATTGATCCTCCGCACATTCGGTATCTCCTCGTCTCTCCGATCTTACCTCCCATATCGCTACTGGTAACCATGTCATTCTTCACTCCTGATAGGGGCCTCACCACAACGGTGGATGGGGTTTCCGTCACCGGACTTCAGGCCAAAGAAGCACTGACACGCCATAGCAGTCTTGCCATTTATGGAAACACTGATCCCTTCACAGCAGTCAGGAAATTGCGAAAATGGTCGCAGGAGCTGTCCAGTATGCCAAACTCACAATTCAGGTTCTTGGAGATCAACGGAGCAGGGCATTTCTGGCGTGAAGACGGGACCGAGTCTTTGATGAGAAATGCAATAAGGGGGTATATCTAAATGCTTGCGTCGGATACATACGCGGCCTACTTATCTCTTGGGTTATGATTGTTGATATATGAGCGACATTCATGAGTGAGAAGTCATAGATTTTGAATTCCACACTCAAGGAACCCTGAATCATGAAACTTCACGCCACAAGATAGTGTTTGGGTCCG